TGCCGAATGGTTATACAAAGCAGACTCTCGGGTGACTGATCTATTCTGTGTTTTTATCTGGCTACAACTACACATATGCAGAATTCGTTACTTAGATTATAAATTTAATTGTGTTTTGACCGGTATTGGTCTACTTTCTCTGGTGCCTTTCCGTAAAATGAAAGTCACAGGAGCAAGAAAGTTACAAACAGAGTATTGTGTTTCTGAAGTTAATGGTCGAACAGATTTGAGGATTGGAACCTTCCACGGTTTAGTAAATGCCGCTACCAAAATAAAAGAACACATTCTTTTGTTCTTTAAAAATACCTTTATAATGAATAGCCCCGATAATTTCATGAAACGATATTAAATCTTATGTGATGGAGATAATAATTTAAGCTGCCACTTCAAATTCAATTTCTAGACCACATTTTTCAATGGGATAAAGTAAGAAATGAACAGCTTATTTAAGTAAAACAACTTTTTTATTCAACCTCTTATAATTTGAAATTTTTTTATACTGTCTGAAAGCGTTTTAATACGGCAGGATTTTGTGTAAGCTCATTAGTATCATCATTGTCGTAGTAGAAACGGGAAATAAAAAAACTCTCCAAGGGTTAGACTTGTTCGTAATACACAGATCCTGGTGTCCGTGAACGTACACAAAAAAATACAAGAAAAAATTTCATTCCTCTTTCGCAAAATTTATTTACAACCAAAGTTCAATTTTCGTGACTCGACTGTTCATTCAAACTTAATGGTTCATATTCTTTACTTATTCTTTGCTATCAAAGGCACTCTATGGGTCTACTTGATGCAAAACACAAACTTGCTTAGGAAAACTGGAGTGTTTGTGTCGTTTTTGCGCAATTCTCTGATCTCACCATCTTTTCATCATTTATAAATTTTTACAACCAACTCAGCGAGTAGAATGCGGTCATACTTGGGAAGTAAAATAAATATCCCAAGAAACGTTCGCATTTCCAACTTTTACTGTTTGCCTTGTATTCCAAAACCGGTGTAATTCATGAGCGTTATTCGTCGGTAATGAGCATAAGCACTGCATCAATCTCTTGATTGCGCGAAATGATTTTAATTTATTGACCAATGAGAAATTTTCCGTTGTTAATCGGCCTAGTCATTACTTTTTCAGCATCAACCGTTTTTGTAACGAAAATTGGGGTTAGCAATTGTCGAAGCTTTGGTTTATGCACCTTTATAGTTTCCTATCCGAGATATTTTAGTTCTCTTTAATCCCCCCTAGTTTTCTGGTGGGTTGCCTGTTTTATTTTTAGGCTTTATTTCCTTCTCTTTAAGCTCGATAAACCACCTCCCTTCCAGTGCTTTGATGATGATGATACTAGAAAATGTTGTATTTTTCCCATCGCTAGTACTCACGGACGCAACAATTTTTCAACCCTGTTTCCTCGGTGAATTCGATCATCGTCATGAAACAAGTTTATAATTAACTGGGAGGGGCGTTTTTGGCTAATCAAAGGCTTTTGGTTAATAGACAAGAAATAGAGTGAAGGTTGTGAGGTTCAAACACGCTAACCTCGAATCGATCAGCACACAACGAAAATCGCGTAAGCACTGCTTCCCATCAACTCCAATGTTTTCTTTGGTTCCAATCTTCCGTCCGCGTTGCTCATTTTATTATTCAACTTCTATCTACACCTTACAGAATTTTATGAACGTGAACCCACTGTACTGCTCTGAGGTTCTCTCAAACCACCTGTTCCTCCGCACTATCTTCATTACCATTTAAGATGATTATTACCTGTCTTGTGAGTCCAGAAACAACATGCATTTTTTATCGATTCCAATTCAGTAAAAGCATATTTATCTCTTCATTTATTTTGAAAATCAGAATTTACCCAAAATATTTACTTTGGGAATATTTTTTGACTAGTTCAACAACCTCGCACGTTTTTGGGCTTCTCTTTTCTTTTTCTCATTCCATTTATTTCATTAGAATGTGATTTCCGCAGACAGCACAAAATGCATTCCCTACCATGGTCAATATGCTCATTTGCATCTGCTAATCTACTTTGCTTTGAGTGTATTGGTTTTCCACTCTAAAATTTTACCTTGATATGAGTTGCTGTTTTTCCGGTTTCCCATTTTGTGGCTTTTAATGATCTTGTGCTTCAGTTCACTCATATCTTTGATTAGGCTTGGCGTCTAAATTTAGGTCGTCTTATAGACCACTGCATAGCGATTGCTTCTTTCTTGCCCATCTATTTCTTATTTTATCGGTCATACAAATAAAATATCTGTTTTCAGATTATGCACCTTAATCATTTTCACTTCCGAAGTTTGAGTTTATGGTAATTCACAACTCTTTCTTCTCCCGAATAGACTATCATAATAAATACATCCATTCGGTATTTTAGCGTCTAGTTTACTGTAAAAGGTTATGAAGATGAACCAATGTCTGGAGAAAATTGACTTAGAAATATTGTTGAGGGAACCGCTGTTTTCGGTTTCTGGTTCGATGGATGTGCTCCCTGCTGATGATTTCTTACAAAAGTAACGTATGTTTTGTGCGTTTAAGACTTTTTAGTAGCATTCTCGTTACATATCAATCCACACATCCCAACTTGTTATCATCCGTCAAAGCCAGTTCTGGCTGATGCTTCGTCTCCTTTTTATTAGACATATCATCTCACTCCCTGTGTATCCACCTGTGTTACTATCATTAAATCGAAACATTTACATATTTGTACTGTGACTTACCTCGCCCATACTTTAAGCTCAGGCATGTGTGAAATACGAAACAACGTATTTATGACAGTTTTCTAAACAACGGTGTTGATTGTTGTTTTTGTAGCTCGGGTAGTATAACCTGGTGTTCATTTGTTTGCCGAGCTTGGCAATTGCATTGCTAACGTTTAATCAGCAATTGAGGTGATATTCTGCTACTGCATTGAAAATGTCACCTCAGTTGCTGATTAAACGTTTGCAATGCAGTTGCCAAGCTCGGTGAACAACTAAACATCATCAATATACTTATACCCATTTGGAGAACTGTCTTCTCAAATGAATATATTTATACCGCAGCTATGCATAACCCCATTATCTCCACTCTTTTGTGCTTATTGATTTGTGATCCACGAAAATCCGATTAGGTGAAATAAAACTCACGTGTTTATACTAGAAATCCCTTTGTTACGACATGATTTTCCCATTTCCTATTGCTTCCTAAACGATATTTCGTAACTATGTGTGCTTTTTACGTTCATGTATTCTGAGGCTAAGGAGATAGCTTTCCACTGGAGATTTGTCCACTATGTATGATTAAAGTTAATTACAGACGTAATCTAACCTGATACAGCTGCTTGCCGAATCTGTTTGCAATAAACAAACAACTAGCAGCAGAATTCCATCATGAGCCAACTTTAGTTTTTTAGAGAGGGCTATTATCAGAAGGTTATCTTTAACGGTTCAAAAGAGTAACTAATGACTTAAGCACTTGAATGTACTTGTTGTCTCTCTCCCATGAAATTGACACACCGAATCAATTTCCTTTTTTGATACGCTAAGAACTAGGTACTTTGGACAGGTGACAAGTAGACTTAATTTTTCATGGATTAACGTAGTGATGAATAGTTTTTTAAAGTGGATATTTCCCAGGTTGCGTCATATTTAACTGTGTGAATAGGATTCTCATAGTTCTTCGTCCCAAATATTGGGATGAAGATACGTCTTGTGTACATATAAAGAGAAGGAGCATAACTAGGGATAGTGATATATAAAATAATTTTAATTTTAACTTACTATGTGCCAAAGGCAAAGAATATGGACATTCAAATTGCGAAAGAAATTTATTTTTATGCAGATATCGCCAGTGGAGTTCAAATTGTAGCAACAGATCACAGATCGGCACTTTTGTATGCAAAACATCAACTTACTAGTAATGAAAATATTCCCACGTGATTTTTGATTTTTTAAATGTGCAATGCTACAATTCGTTTTCAGAAATGAGGGCCTCAACCGATCAAGAGTTGACTGGGGACTCCGGAGTGTAGAAACCGAGCGGCAGCACTGGGATTTGCACACACGACTTCCGGACTGCCGTAGCGATAGCCTTGATTACTTGAACCTCGGCACGCCATGTTTGGATACTTCAGATACCAAAACAGACAGACAGAAATAAGGAGAGGATAATGATGTTTATCATGTTCTGTGGTTTATCAGTGACGAGTAATTGAGAGAGATTAGTAAAAAATATGGGTCTAGTCTAGCTGGTATTCCGTTTGATGGACACTCGTCTTTCTCTGATATAACTCTAGCAATCGGAATGAGAAGGAAGATACGGAGTTTTCATGCCATATACTCTTATTTGTTTATTACAGTAGATGGTAACAGAATGAGAGCTTTAGAGTACAGAACTTTTGTTTGCACTGAATAGAGTAGGCCTTGATCGTAGAAATGTTCCTCTGATGAGACACTAACTGAGCTCATATCCATTTCAATTTAATTTTTCTCCGCTGATAGTCAATGGACACCATTAATCGTAATATTTTGTTCCAAAACCAAATCTTTACCTTTCTTGTTCACCTATGTATGTCACCATTCAAGGTTTCTAATTTTTACGGATATACAGGGACGTTTGTGCTGCTGCTCAATTTCCGCACAAATTTAGTTTACCCGAATTCTACATCTTCCCATTGGTATTTTTCTCAGCTCTTTGGTTCTCTAGTCAATTCCTCCGTTATTGTTCGACCCAATGGGTGATCAGGAGGCGGAAACCGAAACCGCTGTATAACAACAATTAGTTCATGCTTGTGCGAACAGAAGGCTGAAAACTAAGAGTAGGATAAAATGCTTCCAGAATGTCGCTTGCTATTCAAAAGTGCTTATTCTTGGGTTCGAACATAGTATTTACTCACAAACAAGTTACTAATTATTGTTTTCTAATTCCCTAAATTTATTAATGTCATACGCTGCAGTCACCAGATACCTAGCGTTAGTTCCGCGCACCATTTGAAGAACATTTTTTCCACTTTAATCCACAGCCTATGATGGTCCTCAGTCGTACGAGTTAACCAATCCGGACGAACTATGCAGCAGCTCGGAGGTGCAGGTTATACGTGTCAATGCATTACACGAGCAAGGTGATACCGGGCAGACGACTTCCACAACCATCGAGTCGAAACCAACACCTATTCAGGCTCCTGTCAATTTGACCAAAACTATTCGGAAGCCCTATTCGGTTCAGTCGTTTCAGGATGCTGACGAGGCAGCTATCACACGATCAAGCACTTTATTGTCATCCTTAGACCAAGATGCCTTGCTCCTATCTGCAAGTAAGTCTCGTTACTGTGAGCACTGCTTCAACGGTGAATCTTTTGATCCTATTAAACTAGATACGGCGAGGTACATTTTATTTTTTTCTTTGGAGTACGGCCATGAGGTGTCGGCTAGAGTATTATTTGATAATAAGCAAACTTTACTTGACCTTCGCCTTTCAGCGAATGTTTGTAATGGTTCTAAGTTGTTCCCCGTATTCCCTCTTCATACACTTCACAAAATGTTACTGAGGTCACTCTTTCCTTCCCGCATAGCTATTTGATAGTTTATCGGATCGTCGCTGTCATTAAGGGCTATGAGGTGGTTTGAGGTGATCCTTGAAAACTTGCATAAATGGATTTTGGGATTACAGAACGGGGTTTTGCGGACGAGTTCCTACCGTTTCCACTGTGGTTAGCAGTGAGCCTACATTCATAGTGAACTGTGAACATGTCACAGGCCTTGAAATAGCTCGGTCACGCTCATAGTTTTTCATTTAGTTCTGAAACTACTGCACTTGTGAGTGACTTGATCGTTTCGGTGTTCAGCCGTTCAGGGTGATGTTCACGGGTTAGTTCGACCAGCCGCCTAACCGTGCGGACTACGTACCTTATTCCATCAGAATTAGTAAAGAAGATACTTAGATTGGGACGGTAGAGTCATGGCTTTCAGCTTTAAGTCGTATACAGGGTATTGTTGTGGGCGTGACCTGAAGTTTGTGCTTTTGGGTGTGAAAAATCTTACTAACAATGACGGATAGTCTACTTTGTATTTCTTTCGTTGTTGTATCACCTATATACGGCGAGAATATATAAACCGAATTCTTCCTAAACGCCGTCTTCTTTAAACTATTCTCACTGCATCAACCACAGTTTTACACTTCGCCAAATTTTATAACCCCGACGTTCATTTTGTAATTCTCATCTTTCTTTATCTCAAAAAGAGCTTTGAAACAACAGACCGCAGAACAATCTAGCGCTACCTCTTCTCGCGCGACCTGCCGGCTATTTCTTTTTCTCTATCAAGTTCAATTAGGAATTTTGTATTTTATGGGAGTAATGTAGGATTTGTATTCATCGGGGTTTCCCTCTCCCCCTTGGGCTGTTACATTTTGTGATACAGTTGATATTGGAAAAAGCCTTTCCTCGGTGTTAGAATAATGATATTGGTATGAATCTTTGTGATTTCAACTTTTCAAACAGCAATGCACTGTCAAGTTAATGTGCAGCTAAGTTGCAATATTTTCTAAATCGTCTTGGATCTAATGCAGCGTTTACTGCATTGGCTTCTTCCTGCTCTCAGCCTTATCCTGGCTATGAAAGCAATACAAGGAAAATAATTTCGTTACTTAAGCAGTTATATCTCTCCCGGTGGACACTTCGCCGATGAAGTATCAGCAAAGAATGAGAAGACTGGCTTTGTGTACCAAATTGAGATATCTATGATGCCACCGGGACAATCAAACAAGTAATAACGAATTTACGTCCCAAATTCCATGTAATTGCGCTGACGCACTAAATCAAGTAATTGAACTCCACTGATAACAATGACCGGGGGATGTGTTATGGAAGTCATCGACGTGCGGTTTGTACCAAGACAGAAAGGGGGTGAAATAATGTCAAGGATTAGTTAGCGAAGACCTGGCATCGGGATACGACTCGGTGACTGACCCACTCGATCACACAGGTTGCGTTTGCCCTGACGGTTGTAGACATCCTTTGCATCAATGGTTAGAGATCCCGAGTGATATGACTGAGTGCTGTCAAAAATCAAGTTTAGTTTGACTGCATTGCCTACGTTTACCATGGTACCGCTTCCAGATTGCTGCTTCTTCCTTACATTACTTGCTCCGAATTAGTGTCCGAAAGACCTTGACCAAATTCCGTCTCGTGAAATTACAATGTCTGAAATTTTCATAACCCAGTTACGGATCCTATGTAAGAGACCTACATTGTTTCCTATCGGGTAAAGTACGCTGACTGGTAGTTTATCGACGTCAGGTAGTTCGAGCCGCCAAATAGTCAACAGAACTTGAAAACTTGCAAAATTGCCTTGATTATCGCGGAAACAACCTTTCCCTTTTATCCATTTGAATTGATTATATATTGTACATATCTATCGCCAAACATACTTGGCTCTTGATCTTGGCCGAGTACTTATGAAGTGACGGTTATGGATGAGTGACCTCCGACCTGGAGGGGAAGTATAAAGGCCTCTATTAGTAGGCTATACCGTAAAGGTTGCTGTGATATTCCTACTTGAGGTCCGTTGGGTCCGTTAGCTCACAACCATCTCACACCAGCTAACACACCACCCCGCTTGAATATGCTCATGCAAATGCACACATCTACATGCTTACTTCTTTGTATTTTATCCGCTAGTTCATATTGATTAATTCATCCGGTCAAAACTTTGTTCTACTCGTTTCCTGAATCGGTTGCTTCAAATAACTGCCAAATCCAAATGGATGTTTTACTATTCAGCACTATTCCGAAAAGGATGAAGTGTTACAATGATATGGTTTTTAAGCGATATCGCCAGACAAATCCTGTTTGCAGTTCGATGTACAACAAACAGCCTTGGTGTCTTAAATACTTCCATGGTTGTAAGCTCTACCGCGTTCCAGCTTTTTGTTATGTATTTCGGGTTCAGACCGCCAATAGTAGACAATATTGTTGATATTTGCTTTAAAAAACCATAAATTATTTCTACTATTTTTTTCACCCCGTCCACTGAGCACAAAAGCATCCGAACAAATCGATTTCACAAAATTTATCTCTGCCTACCTTCGATCCTAAGCAATCAAGTGTGGACGAGTTTACAGTCTGAGTCTCACTATCTTTGTGACCATTGACGCATTGCTTTAAATAATTTATTTATATCCATTATTATCATCATTATCATTATTATTATTATTTATGTTCCGCCAAATTTTCCCACTGAATATTATAGTATATTTTAGTTTATTCAAGGTACCTCTACACAGAAAAACACAATGAGTAACGGTTCTCTAATGGCCATTGTCCCTTTTACGCGTTTGCGTCAAGATGCACCAGATTCTTTACATACACGTCGACAAGGCTGATTCCAGTCTGGGAAACCGTCTTTGATCTAGTTTTGTATGGACTCTGCTCAGCGTCATCATTTTTTGATTTTTGATCTTTATTTCCTTTTTTGATTATTCAAAGATAAAACTTTCAGGAAGAGGGAAGCAGTCAATCAAAGGACCGCGATACAACACAATGGGAAAATTCGGGTGGTGGTGGTGGGATTCGAACACGTCCTCCGGGCTACCATAGGCTTTTGTGTTTATAAAACGGCTAGTGCCCAAATAAATATCCCATAAGCTTATAAAGCGGGTTGGTACGGTCGTCAAGTTATGATGTATCTAAAGATTCGCAGTACTGATCACGATTGATCTGCCAGTGCAGTCAGTTCCTCTCTGTACGTCGGGCAGAAAGAAAGCGACAATAAACTGCAAATGGTATACGACCATAAAGACATCCTTCCGTATTATGCATTTATGATGTTTTGATACATAACTAAACCAAATGAAATCCTTATTCTAGAAGTTAATTTGTTTAATCATCAACCTTTTTCATGAGGTGCAGTTGCATTTATTTTATTTCAGTTAAGTGATTCGAAAACAAAGCAGAAATGGAGGGGCGTGTGAAAGTAGAAGAAACAAAGGCGATAAAATGCTCTGTTATGTTCCCCATTTTAATTTGGTTTCCTTTCAAAGTACCGACTATCCCTATATGTACCGATTATCGTGTGTTTCTTCTCCATTTTGTTCAGTTTTTTCCTCAAAAGTGTACACCATATTTGACTTGGCTGTTTTTCAGGTGATGAAGAGGACCCGAGACCGAATCAGAATGGCGTACCTGCAGATTTAACGGTGGCTTCCAACCAAGTCCTGGCTCCGGCAGTTCCTGCACGTCTCCCATTCAATGGGGATTCCACTTTGTTCGTTCCCACCGAAAATCAGTCACTGTTGGCCAGCGAAAACCAATCACAACCACAACTGGTCAGTCGATTTGTAGATTGGACAAGGGATTCCACCATTCCACCGACCACTTCGCCATCCCAGCTGACAAACCAATCCCCAATCCATTCAGAAACGAATGTGCTTGATGTGAGCGTTTAGATCTATTTACATCTATTGTTTTTGGCTGTTTTGTCACTTGTGCATGTGTGTGTGTGGGCATGCTCAAGTGAGTGTTCAACATCATACGACGCTTTGCGCTTTGAGGTGTCTTAGTCTCAAACTGTTCAGTGAGACGGAAACATGCAGTCGTTTCTTGTACACACACATACACACACAAAAGAAAATTAAATTGATGTGTTACATCAGGGAATATAATGAAGTGTCCCAAACAAAACGTTAAAGTGGAAAACGACCACTAATACGCACGTGCAACAGTTCGACGGTGCTTGTTGCGGTGGGTTACTATAGTGATGTGATGTGCACCCAATGAGCGATCTCTGTGCTCATGGCGTTGATAGAGACGGATGAGTGCTGACGTTTCGACCAATCTGAGCCGTATAGTAATGCCGTTTGGAATTCATCCGCCGGCACCACTGAAGTTTCCCTGATCAAGACAGAATGATCATAGAATGCGATTTAGGTCTCTCATATTGACACGAGTGATAAGCTGACGGTTCATTAAAAAACACTCGAAATACTACGGTAGTAGGAGGGAGGATAGTCTACACCAAATATGCATCTGTTTCGATTTTGGTTCCCTCTTTACTCATCCATTTCTCTATGGGGCTGATTTTGGAATGTCGGCCATTGAAAATAGGCAATATGATAACTTGCGCATCCAATTACGGGAGTGGACGAATAATCAAAAATAACCATGATTAGTATCAAGTGTGAAATGGGTAATGGGAAACATAGATTAGGAGACACATTATTGTGAGTCTTGACCGAAACTGTACAGGCTTGGTACATATATAATAATAGGGTGACCAACGTGATTTGAAAAATAATTCTTCACAACAAAGTACATAATTCAATACACAGTTTATTGGGTACATCTGTCACAGTTATCATGGTTTCGCTTTCATTCAATGGCCTGACTTTAAATATGATCGAATGCGGTTGCTTTTAACAACAGAATCTATATGACAATACACTAGAACGTTTTTAGCCTTAGATAAATAATTACTATCCATTTTGTCTCATAGTATGAACACTAAAATATGAACAAAAGTGTTGTAAATACCTATTTAAGAGTCCTGCAAATTCGGAGTGTTTTGGCGTGCAGCTAGAGTTGACATATGATGCGCACGGAAACACAAATGGTGTTTGATATTCCCAAAAAGGAGGGGGGGGGGAGGAGGATAGCCTTCACATTCTTGCAAAACATGAATTAATCTGTTTCAAATGTATCCAGTTTTAACGAGAAATTTTCATGAAGACGAACAATTTCATAGATTATCTAATTATCCAATTATTATTCATGACTAAGACTGAAAAACAATTTGATCATTCTGCTGTTTCAGAAATTCAAGAAAGTTATTACTCCCTTTCACCTGCCAAACAAGAATAACGGAGCTCTCGTTAGCATCCTCCCATCTGTCTTACCCTGTAAAATAGTGAAATCTCAGCTGGGAATCGGGATGGCGCATAAATAAATCATTTTAATGAACGGTAACACGTGGCTGATAAGCGAGACCATTTACTGCTCAAATGCCTTACATTTGATTGGAGAGTTTCGGTCATAAAGCAATTATTCGCCATCTCTTCGGTATTAATTGTTATATCGTTATACCCTTGATGCGTAACTTCTGCCATGTTGCACATGTTTTCCAGTTCCATCGGGGCAGTTCCAGTTCCCTGTAAAGAGTTGACTATATTCCCAGCAAAAAGTTTGCAACGCATGAATCTAATGCAGCATGTAGAACTCTCAACGGTCTACCTGATTGTTTGTCCAACTTCCTACCCCATTTGGCTTCTTCACCTCTTTTCTGAACGCGCTACGTTTCGGTTACTAATAGCAACATGCAAACGAACTCGAGCAACACACAACGCAACCGATGCTTTGTCTTACTTCACGGTCGACTGGACCAATCGAGATTGTAAGTTCATGCAGCATTAGATGCATGCATGCGTGTGCGTATGGTTTATTCTGAGGCAGGACAATCTGCGTGTTTTGGTTTGCCCACTCAAACCCATTGCATCCTCTTCCAAAACATCCGTTCGTTTTCACTGCGCTGCCAATTAATTTGGTATTTTTTGCTCTCTATCACCATACATACACATATCCAAACATGCGCGGAGACACAACACTTTGTTGTCCTTGTGAATCACGTGGTCAGCTCCATTCGCTCGATATCCAGCTGTCTACCGCATCTCATTTTCTCTTGACTGCGTTTTAGACATGTGCGCATTTCTGTGTGCGTATGTGCTTGTTTCACGCGTGCTCTCGGACGACCCCAGATGTGGCAGCGTTTGTATGGGCTTTGGCCTGTACTAGTTTCCTCTTGTTCCGACCTTCTTCGATTTGAATGATAAGTAAAAGCAATCGGATAGGTTTCTTTCCATCAGCTTGCTTCCCCTCCCTTACTCCTTCCCCACGAAAAAAACACATTTGACAGTGTTCGTCCTGGGAACAAAGATCTGCGTTCATTACGAATAGTTTACGCTTTCCATCTATCTAGTGTTGTGCTCCTGACGTGCTCTTGAGCATGATTTTTCCCCTATGTAGAACGGTTTGCTTTGGTGTATGTGTTTTCACGCAAACGAAAAAAGAAACCTTAGGTGTCCTTGTAAGAGAATTTATTTTCGTGAGAAGTAATTGTTTTATCTCCACCCTGACCACTGTTTGATGGTAGATAGGGAAAAGTTTCAACTGATTGAATTATTTCCACTATCAATTCTGAATGAAGAAATTCAGGGATACACGAATTCCGGCTTGTAAACTGACTTTCCAGACAACGACATCTTAGCTTGAGTAGATCAATCACTAGAAGTAGCGAAAACAGGCTGTGTAATATGTTTTCAATGACTCATGCTTGCTCTTTGTTGTACTCCACTAGGTGATAAACGTCTTTATTCACAGAGCTTTTAATGCAGCCAGTAACTTTTGTGCTGAGTTTCAACATGTAGTTTTCATCGTCCCCACTCTGTCTACTGTAGCAGCGTTCAAATTTATTGCCCTCAAACTTCAAATCACAAACATCGTAGATATGCGTGTTTTACCATAGTTCACTCCGCGTGGCACAATCCTCTGAAAAGAGACGAAAACCAAATGAAGCGTAACCTACCGTGACGTTGTTTTTTACGTGAATGTTCGCTGGAGTTGTTGTGTCGACCGCATTCTTCGTCTCAGTTAAAAAAATATTTAACCCCAAAGGATCCTTTCGCATTGCCGATTTATGGAATTTATGGAAAGTATCATTTATCGCAATCATTAGCACTTCGTAGTTATATGATGATTGAATTCGTCACCAGCATTGTGATGAAAGCTCCTCATTTAACTCTAAAGTGAATCGTTTTCCCCACTTATTCCGTTTCGTGTACCGGTCAGAACGTCATACATTTTGCATAGTTAAGTTGACTAGGTCTTTTCTTTTACTGTTTGATACTGGATGAAATCAATGCATGCATCACCGACCGTCCATTGGTTTGCTCAACAAACTAGTAAAGGCACCAACGTGAGATGAGTACACGGAAATTGACTTGCTCCTGATGATATTGCGGTTCTGTGGGCCTAAAATCAACAATGAAACCCAACTAACAGAATACAGCCCGGCTGGTGTTTTGTGGTGTTCATACCTGTCATCCAAACCATGTACTGGTTATCCTCCATCATCTGTCAGTAGCAACATGTGTGCATACTGAATGCACTCTTCCTGAATTTAAACGCATCATGTACGCAGGACGGTGAATTGGTCTATGGTTAGTCTATTACAAGGTGACGAACAAACCTGCTTCTAATGTTTCACCTACGGGCCAATTACAACGCATCATATAACTCAGGGAACGAAGCAAGGAGGTGGAAAATCAGATTGTTATTATTTACAATAGGAGGCGGATTTGAAGTATGATTTTTCATACTCTGACCGCATAGTTGTTGATAATTATTTGCGGGGTGTGAATTCGCAACTGAAATGTTAAGTGATGGTGGCGGTGGTGGTGGGGCGACTCAGATACATGGAATCTCATGAATTGTTTCAATGTCCATAGTGAGGGATTGTTTATTCTAATTGTCAATGCCCCTGCTGTAGAAATAAATTGGGCCTTGATATCCTTGAACCGGGCCCCTGTGAATGGATAGGTCGGTTAGAACAACTTCCGCACGTCAGCAGTGTGATTCGTTTCGATCAAAGGTATAGTATCGGCGCTCGTACCTGCTCTAATCGGTCCTTGACAGTGCCAAATTGGGTAGTGTTTTCTCATTCAGTCGGTCAGCTCGCGGTTAATGTGACTGGTGCTACAGGACCAAGTAAGCTGGTAAACACAGGTTGAGGTCAGTTCCATAGGTGACCTGTTCCGGGAAAGATAATTTAGAAGAATGGGAAGCACGCGATACCATTTAGAAATAAATAATTTTCCAACACAATCCTCAGCCATGTGCTTATTCTCTTCGAAACCGTACCATCTTTGAGAGGGAACGCAATATAACCTACCTTTCTCGCAGCTGGGTTATATAGTTTCATATTGTGAACTCTCATGCAACAATCAATAATTTCCTCTGAGTATCCATTCACCAGGAACGCTGCTTTGACTGCTGCAAGTTCAACAGCAAATGAAGCGTTCTTACGCGGTCGATGACACATCGAATTACGCTTTTTTGGCGCTGCATTGGAATAAAATTACGAGAGTTGTTTTATTGTCCTGTCCACGTTTTCTTTCATATATATATGTTATGTATGAGAGAACCATCTTTGCGGTGTGAAAAGCAACACATTAAGAAATGTGATTCCTTGTTCAGATTCTATCAATAGGGTACAAGTGATATATAATATCTATAAGATATATTTATATAAGTTTTGTTATTTTGGCAGCTATATCTCACCCGGTGGCTGCACCACGGATGAAGTGTTAGCTCGCATACAGAAGGCCTGGTTGGCTTTGATGACTTGAGACATCGATGGCGCCGTCGCGATATCAGGCTACCTGTGAAGGGTCGAGTA